CGAACTTCTTTATTCGTATTTGAAGAGTCAGAGTGACGTTACCGTCCAAGTAGAAAGATTGTTCGACTCTAACCCTATCGTGGCGCCAAGCTGAATCAGACCTATTGCGAAAAGCTTGTAGATATTCGGCGGAACGAAAAGCGGTTTAATCTGCTGGAGGCACGAGCGCACCTTGGCTTTTATATTGTCGGCGGACGATTCGACGGAGTCGAACTCCTCTGCGAGATCCTTGATCTGTGAACGAAGATTGTTATCGAATTAGCAAATGACTGCAATGTTTCTGCTATCCTTGTAGATGCTTTAAGAACGTTGTATTATCGGGCAGTTTCGAAATGAAAATGTCGCTAAGGGAGGATATCCGAGTGCAGAGGGCTAATAACGCAATAGTAGAATAGACGCGATTTATTATAGCAATTATTCCGACAAAGGACTACCCTACTTAATTCATTCTCGTGTCTGACAGAAATATCGTGTTAGTCAGGTGTGACTAATGGGGCAGCTAAGGTGTTAAGCGTTTAGAATTGATTAGGATAGCGCAGCCCGTTAAGGCGGAGTGACCAATTGCTGTGCTTTTGAGTCGTTTATTTTGATCTCCGTCGAACGAGACATATTAAATTTTGTTCTCCTTTTGTTTCGAATGAAACAACTTCTTTCCGTTTTGTTTATTGTTCCGAGTAAAAAGCAAAATTTATTTTGATTATTCAGCAACTGGTCGGGAAATATTGTTCAGTATTTCGTACCGGATATGTGTCCGGATCTTTGCCGGTGTTGACCGCGTATATTCTCTTGAAAACCGCCAGAGCCTCTTCCCTTCGTCCTTTCAAAAGCAAAAAACGAGGACTCTCCGGGAACGCGAACATCGCTAAACAGGCGAGAAATTCTGGCAACGAGCAAATCGCCAAAAACACCCTCCAGGAACTGATCTCTATTGTTTTGCCCAGCAGATTCACGTTCCATTTTTGGGGAATGATCAGCCAGGCGATACCTGCGGAAATCAATTTCATAGTCTTGTATTGCGGTGAAATATCAAACCGGAATTAGAGCATCGCTTAAGGGAGAAATTTAATTAGTANATAATACTGTATAATATATAATACACATAATATAATATAATATAATATAATATGATATAATATAATATAATATAATATAATATAATATAATATAATATAACATAATATAATATAATATAATATAATATAATATAATATAATATAATATAATATAATATAAAATATGTATAATATATATAATATATACAATAATAATTTCCTAAATTAAGGACCACGCTATAAAAGAATCTTTTACAACATTGGCGTGTAACACAAATAAGATCTTGGTTTAACAAATGAGAATTGGTATTAGCGAATTGGAAGACGTTGTGCTTCGGTTAGCACACAATCGAATTTTAAGTACATTTTGCGTTCGGATACCTTCTCCTGATTATAAATAGAATATAAAAAGAAATGTCACTTACAAGGCAAAGAAATGTTACCAAGTGAGAAAAACACACCTAGCCACATGTAAGTTCGAGATCGATGTGTGTCATTGTGTATTTCGGCTAGATACGACATTAGGGCGGCATACGGGCCGGATATGCTGGAAAATTTCAAACATTCAACTGAAATCTGTGCGTCAGATGAATTTTATACGTTCAACATTTATTTGTTGTTACTTCGATGTTAATTGATACTTTCATTTCTCACCAAGTTCTCGAGAATAAAATGATCATCTTTGATTTTCAACATTTTACACTTTTTTTAAATATCGCTATTGATTCTTGTGAAGAAAATTTTTCGGAAATTTTTAAACACAAAGATGTGAATTACGAACAATGGTTAACGCTCATTAAAAATCTAATGTATTATCTATTGGATTTATACGACATTAATTTCGAGAAGAACTCACGAGAAGTCTAGAAATTTTATCAAACAATAGTTAAACTAATTCATATTTAAAGAAAAAAAAACAGAGTATTTTCTCTTCGGTATCGTTGAAGTCACAGTAACACCGAAAACGTGAGATGTGCAATTTTTTTTTCATTCGTTCGTAACAATTTGATCGAGCACTGTGCACAATGTGTACGTTTGTGAAAGTTTAAACAAAAGATTCCAATCGTTGAACATCATGATATTGAGAAGACTTTTTTTATGAACTTACGTTACACCGTCGAGAAATTTGAAAAATATTAAAAGCCAAGATGTGTGCGAGAAACACGATGCTAGACTCAAGACTCCAGTGACCATGTAACCGTAAAACATGATCTTCTTGCGACCATAAGTATCGGTCATGAAGCCCCAGAAAAACGAGGTGCTGATCATTCCTGAAATCAATCGTTTCTTCAATAAAAGTTGTTAAACGAACAATTTTGCTTTTTCGTCGATAGTAACGCAATAAAAATTAGCGGTCTCCGAGACGGCTAACAGTGATTACGTAAGTTCTTACAGATGTATTAATTAGAGGTTGTATGCTTTAATTATTACATCTTTCTATTGGCTAAAATTAGGATTGGTATTACAATAATCGAGAATAATACTATTAAAAAAACAAGTAAAGAAAGAAAGTTGGCAATAATTAATAGGTGACGAAAATAAGACTAAATAAAAATAAGGATTTTGCATCGTTATCAATTTCTTCGCAATAAAAAATAAGAAAATAATATGAATTATTAGTTTTTACACAGTATCAGGTAAAATTGTTAAATACGGTGTATAAAAATGAGCTAAAATAGAACGATTCTAAGCAGAAAAACAAGCTCGAATATGAGGAAAATTTAATTGCTTGTACAATAATTAGGGATTGTCAATCAAGTCTCGGTTCTATTCATAAATATGGAGTATCGATTTTTATCGGTACAATTCGCTATGCTTTGAGTAAATTGTATACCGTTCCTATCGTTTATGTAAATCGTATTCGACATTGGAGCTATATAATGCGACAGTGTTCCTGGTTTAATCTGTGCTAGATAAAAAGATCAACATATCGTACACGATTTCCTAAACATTTTTCAATTACCTATAAGATAAGTTCCGTTAATTATCTCCTCGTATATGTAGTATGTATCTTAAGAAAATGTATCTACTTCTCAAGATGTACATATAGTAATATACTTTGACAATTTAAATAAAATATGGTCTATAATTTCGTTTAAGAGAATTTACAAAATTTGTCTAATTTTCCATGCATTATACGAGCCGATTTTACTTAACAATGGCGAACAAGAAAAATTAATCCTATAGAGTCTAGCGGAAATCATATATGTTTGCCTTGCATTTTTCATAATTATGGAAAATTAATTTACTATAACGTTCGAGCGTTATATCGAGCGTTATAAATTAGTATTCATTCTGTCTTTGAAGAAGAATCGTTACGTTTCCGTTACATCTTTCCGCAAGCATCTTTTTTCGATCGCAAAATAGATTTTATTAAAAATAAATTCCACGCGTTAAGTAATTGAAATAATATAACAAAATAAAATAACAAAAAATTAATAATAACCTTGTTATGGTCAGGCCAGGATGACGATGTAGAATTCATGAATTCTAACAATTATTGTATCATCCCTGGGCAACGATAACAAGGCGAAGTCAATGAATTCTTCACGGAGATTGAATCGTTTCGATCGGAACAAGAAGAATTCGAAGAATTTGCCTTTATTTACCCACGTTTGTGCCACAAATACACTCCCTAATGACACCGTAGTGTACACGATGTTCTAACCAAGCTCGGCATACCGAACTCAAAATTTTCCTTCGACCGATTCTCTTCGCAGATTTAACGCATCGAGCGCTGACCGAGTCTCGTGTGAGCGACGCTAATTTTTAACCAGGTTACAAAAATCATTTTTACTGTAATATGTAATCGTACAAACCGAACGTTACCAGGATTTGTGGTACGTGATAGAGTTAAACTATTATTTCCAGTGGTAAATCTTCATTTCTCAGTTTCGGTTTCATTAATTAAACGACTTTCGTTATTATATTTCGTTATATTGCGAGATTTCTTGGGATCGATTAGTTTCTGAAATCGATCTTTATCACGATATATATTCGAACAAACTCAAATTTTATTAGAATCTTTAGGATGCGGAAGTATTGAAATACCGTTCGCTGCGATAAATTTTCAGTTTTCGTCGATCGAACCGCGTTGCTTTTGCGAATGCAGGAGAATCGAGAAACCGTTCGCCGCGATAAATTTTCAATTTTTAGTCTCAATTTCATGGATCGAACTGCATTGATTTCGCGAACGCGGATAAATGGGAACTTCGGATTCCTTAATTGAATTGCTTCGATCTTGAAGCTCCGGGATCGATATTCGGCACTCGACGCGTTAATCCGGATCCGTAGTTCACAACGGTGATTACGGGATCATCGATTAATGGATACACCACCTGCGAATGTCATCGAATTGAGGAGGCCCTTGTCGAACATCGTGAGGCCCAGGTCGCATTGCGCCGACGGCAACACGTACGATATCGCCGATGATGAAAAGATGCTGGAGAAACTCGCGGGCAACAGGGCCAGCAGCAACAAATAGTTGAACTTTCCATAACCTGCGAGAAAATTGATATCGAAATCGTACAACGACATTTTTCTTGGAGCGACGGATTTTTTTTTCTCGTAGTACAGTAAATTCTCTCTAATTGCGCGGAAATTCGCGTACTTCCTATTCCCAAATTGTCCATTTTATAATTTATTTCTACGATTTAATATATTCGTATAATTTTTGTTTTCTTGTACAATCTGAGCGTCAATTAGGAATTCACTGTAATTTTAAACGCTTCGCAACATCTTTGGTAACCGTCTTCCATTATTATAGTAATGTCTCCCTTATCTCGTAGCATTAATTTGAAGTCACAGTTTTAATTCGAAGTCGCAGCATTGATTCGAAATCGCAGCATTAATTCGAAGTCACAGCTTTTAATTAAAAGCAACGGGAATCTTTCGACCGGCCGGAAATTATTGGACACACACACACACACAATCGCATGCTCTTACCGGAGTTAATTATCGCTCGTTCGAAATTCGCTGGACCAGGATCCTCAGACGTTACGTCTTTACCTGCAATTAAAAGCGTTCGCAGATGTAATAAAAATCGAATGCTCCTCGAAGCTGCAAGCTCTTCGGTGTCCGCAAACAAATTTTAGTGGAACACCGTTGTGCTAAAAATCAAGCGGAACGGAGTACAGTAATGTTTCCCTAATTGACACTCGGATTGTGCAGAAAAATGGACAATTTGGGAAAAGGAGATACCATTATTCGAGCTTCTCAACTCGTTTTTATAGTCACCCATTGTCGACAATTATAAGAACGAGCTGCAATAATAACGAGCTGCTCGAATAATCGTATCTACTCTTCCCAAATTGTCCATTTCTCTGGACAATCTGAGCGTCAATTAGGGAGACATCGCTGTAAATGTAAAAAAAAATAACGTACACCGGAAACGGCTGTAGCTCAGCATCGAAACAATGTCGCTGATTCTTTGTAACATCATTTGCGCGCTATATCCGTAGAAGATATAATTGAAATTGTTCGAAATTGCACCAATTTTACTAGTTCGACGTGCACGTTTCGTTCGAAAACGACGTCCGTTGTTCGCAGAGAGACAGAATGAGTCGTACGCTTGTGTTCTCGCAAACTTTCACGATATTTGTTCAACAACGAGTATCTCTTTAAACAGCTAATTAACCGGACCCCATCGGTGCGCAATAAATTTCGTGGTTACGTTCGATAACGATCGTTGACGATCCGATTGAATTGCACCGATTTAATGTTTTACGGAAAAATCTCATTCATAGAATGATCGCAATTACTGTTCACCGCGTCGGAAACTCGTGGCCGATGCTTAAAGTTCGTTTAAATACGTGGCACATGTAATTACATTCGCGGCAACGACCATGCACGATCGCCCGCGCACGTTTTACAAACGATTATTTCAATTAGCACGACGCGAATTATTAAATATTATCGCGCGAAACTCGACGGCTGCCTCGTAAACCGGTGATTTATTTATCAGTGAAATATGTTAATAGCATTAATTTTGTTGTTTCTTTTTTTTTCACGAAACAAAATACAACCGTTCGATGCGAGCGTATTAGTTAATTTTCGCACGATTGTTTTTTCACGTATTATTTTATCATTTCGTTTCGCGCTACGTTAAAAGGACGAACATATTTCGTTGCACAATCCGGGATACTGTTAAACGGCACCGATAGTTGTTTCGATGAATGAGTTTTTAACGTTTTTAGCGTTTTTAGTCTTGAACTTCGCGTTACGAGGGAGCAATTTCGACTGTGATTAGAATTCGAATAGGGAGAGCGACGACGAGCGAAATGTACTCGCGACTGACAGAATTCGGGGCTGAGAACAGGTGTTTACGTTTCCCGTTTATTGTTCTGGCTTATCTGTAGGCGAAACTTTAATAAGCGTCTGGTTGAAAGGTTTTTCGTGTTTCAATGAAATGCCATATGTTTGAACAAATTACGGCAATTATTCTGATTAGATAGCACTGCACAAAGTTAGAAATTCGTCCGCGGATAACGGCGGCCATTAAATTCTTCAAATATGTTTACAATTTTTCCACTAAGCTCGTTAGCAGAAAGCTCACTAGACAGCATTTTCATTATGAAGTATGTTATTAGAGAACGATTTTTACACGGCGAGGTTACCGTGCCACGATACTGTAGCGCTTATCGTTGGTCAATTTATCATGACTTGGTTATTAACAAACGCGATGATTTATTCATTTAAAAAATGCTCGTCGCTGTATGTAATTTTCGGTGAGAATGTTCACTGGAGAGATAGAGTAAGTTTTGGCCGAATTAGTATACGTATACAGGGCGTTTCAAAAATGTCTCTAAAAATGAATTCCTGAGGTGATTCGAAGCAACTGTTTCCTTAGCGAAAATGCAATCCGCGGCTTTGTTTACGAGTTATTAACGAAAAACGCTGACCAATGAGAGGCGAGCTGTGCTGGCGCGAGACGGTCGAGCCAGTGCCGCGTCGTGCCGGTCGTCTGACGTAGCGGCAGTGGTCGTGAGGGCGGGGTTTCAGCCGTACGCGATCTCTCATTGGACAGTGTTTTTCGTCGATAACTCGTAAACAAAGCCTCGTAGGACATTTTCGCTAAGGAAAAAGTTGCTTCGAATGACCTCAGGAACCCACCATATTCGGTTTGCGAGACATTTTCGGGACACTTTGTATAGTATGGTGTAGGAATTCTGTTCTAAGGAGCTCATTTTGAGTTCTCTGAATTTCTGAATTCAGTTCTTTGGTCATTTTTCCGAGGGTTTCGCTTGATTAATGGTGACGAGATGGATCGTTTCCTTAATTTAATATAAATAAAGGAAATATATAGTAAAATATTAGCTTTCTCCGTTTCTCCATTAGCATCTACTTTTTCATAGACTGGCATAGACTCGCACAGTTTCAAAACAATAGAGAAAAGTCATCAGGAATGCCTAGTAACATTCAATTATCTCAATAATCTACCGCCAAACGGTTGATTATCCAATCAATGGAATATAATTACAGCTGCGCATAGCTCAATCCTATTTAACGCAGGAAGCTTTTTCTCGATAGAGAATTTAAATTGTGTTCATGTTTTGTTAGATATGCAAACACAGAGGAAAATGTGTTCTTACAATGAATAGTTTTGCGATATTTCTGCCTTAACAAGAAAGAAGCATGACATTATTTATTTATTATATTCTTTACATATATATAATATTATATATATATATATATAACATTTTATAATAATTTTATAATATCATATATTTATAGTTTATAGTTTATAGCTGTTGACAACCGGTAACCATAAAAGCGAGCCGCATCGTATCTCCTCCTCCCAAATTGTCCATTTATGTGCGCAATCTGAGCGCGAATTACGGAAAAATTACTATAGTCCGGCTGTCTCGCGAATTCGCTAGTTCGACCATGCGATCCAACGCGTTGACATAATCGAGGTTTCGTCGCGTTTCGGCGTCCGAAATCTCGTTGCACGTTGTTTACAATTTACAACGTAGCTCGCTCGTGTTTGCTCGCCGGCCAGCCAAGAAAGTGCATCGCGATGCATTATTCGTTGTCCAGAGAAGAGGCGCATATTTCGCGTGACGCTCGAAAGAATTCGAGCGGCGCGCACGGTACGTGATTTGTTCGAATTTTCCGTTCGGTTGCTGCGGGACCGATAAACAACAGGGCCGAAAACAATTACTCGTCGGTCAATTCCGTGCCGTCTTATTTTTTCTGTTTTTTTCTTTTTTAGCAACGACAAGTCCGACGCGAAATTTTATGCGCCACGATTTTCCTTCGTTTCGATAGCATATTTTACAGTGCCCCGCAGCGGTTTTTACAACTTGCAGGAAGCGATAATTTCGTCACGTATGCTTCGAAAAAAATGTCGCGTAAACTTCCGTACACTCGACCGAAGAACGGTATAATTCGACGAGATTATTATATTTATATTTTTTATTTTCTTTTTTTAATCGACGTTGTAATTGCGAGAGGAATTTAATGACACCGTTGCATTGTTTTTTAACTTGTCAACAATAATTGAAGGAACGATTTACTTTTATATAAATTCCGTTTAATGCAATCATCTGGTCAAACGTTATTAATACAATTGTCAGTCTGGTCAAAATATTTCGCTTTGTTCGCTCTAAAAAAGTTTCCTTCTCGATATCTTGTCCTACAGTTTTATCATCGACATTTTAAATGTTAATGCCACGAAGCTGAAACTACCAGAAATGTGATACCATATATTTTTCTCCAGCTGTTCCACCAGGAATCATTTTTCCGTCGACTGTACCGTGTCGCACAGCGCAATGACATGCATAACGTACGCCGTATCATGTCACTATGAAACTGTGCATCGCTGTATTTTATTTCTAGTAATAAACACGACTGAAATGCGTCTAATGAACGATCACCACCGAAACTGTCGATCCGGATTGGAACAGGAAGCTACGACTGAAACACATCGACTATCCGAACCTACGACACTTGAATTCCGCTCGAGCGCGCCTCGCGAGAGGATCGTTCGATAATTGAATGTCTGCATCTTTCGAATGGTTCAATTAGAACTGAGAATACAACGGCGTGATCCGCGAATCATTTTCGATCGTTTCCGTAGTCAATAATTCAATAGAAAAATATAATAACGCGATCGACACCGATCGCTGCACAAATCAGCGAGGACCTAATCCGGCGCCCTAACCGGCAAAAGACTGCACGATCGCCGCGTCCCACCCCCTCGAATTAGTTCGGATAGTCGAGGTTCCACGGTGTTCCAGCAGTTTCCTAAAACACTGAATTATCGCGATCGAACGGCGGGCGAGACGACAAGGATCAAGAAACGTCGAGTTCGCCGCGCGAAAACTTGCCTGTTCCGTTGACTAACGAACTCATTAAATACCCTCTGCTTTGCCTCGGTGTCCACAATCGGTCGAAAGCGGGTCCCACGATCGAAGAACACACGAAATAAGGGAGAATAAGGGGAGAAGTTCGGGAACGAGGAGGAGGACGATGAGAAACAAACGTCGAGCGAGGAACGGGACGGCGAAGAGACAAAGTGCGGCGAGAAGAAAAAAGGCCGAGGCGGTTTGCGCGGTGGTTGAAATGCAACGTGCACCGTGAAACGAGGATAAAAACAGCGCTGGCTAAACTTCACCCGTCGCACATGCCCGCCGCGAAACTACAATTCGCGTTGAAATCACACGCGGACGCAAAAGCTACCTGTGCCGTCTATGTAAATCTCGCCCCAGGTGGGGCGAGAACAGGTTGTCGAAGTAAATCGCGGCTCTGATACGCGAAAAACCTACCTCCACCCGCGCTAAACACGTACCGGAAGCACGCTATGATCGCTCTACTTCTATCCGGACGGTTTCTTCGGCAACCGCAACCGCGAATCCTTTCGTTCTTTTGCGGTGCTCCATTGTCTACGAAATGTCCCCCCTCCTCCGAACGATTTGTGCTCTTCGAACGACTGTTGCGAAAGCGACTCTGGCATTCGCAGTTCGTTCGGTCAATTATTGGACGTATTTGACTGTGTTTGACGAGTATATTCGTCACGAAGAAATGACAGTATTTTGCATTACGACGAGTATACTCGTCACGAAGAGGTGGCAGTATTTTCTGTCACGACGAGTATACTCGTCACGAAAAGGTGGCAGTATTTTGTGCCACGGCGAGTATACTCGTCACGAAGAAATGACAGTATTTTGCATTACGACGAGTATACTCGTCACGAAGAGGTGGCAGTATTTTCTGTCACGACGAGTATACTCGTCACGAAAAGGTGGCAGTATTTTGTGCCACGGCGAGTATACTCGTCACGAAGAAATGACAGTATTTTGCATTACGACGAGTATACTCGTCACGAAGAGGTGGCAATATTTTCTGTTACGACGAGTATACTCGTCACGAAAAGGTGGCAGTATTTTGTGTCACGACGAGTATACTCGTCACGGAGAATTGTCAGTATTTTCTGTCACGACGAGTATACTCGTCACATCTTAACCAGTTAACTTCTAATTGAGATGGTCGTTCAGTGCCGAACATTAATCTTAATAATTGCCACAACATCAGAGTGCTTAAAGAATATTTATAATTTTATTCAACAATTTTTCTTCTAGACTCGGAAGATGTTATTTGGACATTTTTGTCTAACGTCAGGCATCACAAATATATTACGCGTGCTCAAGATTAAATGGACACCCAGTATGTGCGTGAACGACGCACGGAATTGTTTTACAACAAATCGTGCAGAAATTCTTATACATATTTTGTTGTACGTTGTCAGATCGCAAGTTTTGGAGTATCGTAGCACAGCTGGAACAGTTTGCAAAATGTTGACTGTACAGATTGAAAAGATCACTTGCATCTTTTTTTAAATTGTACTGTACACTTCTTTATGCACCACTGGGTACATCGTTGCATTCTCTGCTAAAAAATTATTATGGCACCTTGGCTAAGAAACGGTGCAGCGAAATTTCTATTTATTGTAAATAATATTGTAAGCACACGTGTTAATATTTTAAGATAAATAGTAAATTTTAATCGTAAGAGGAGGACAAAGCTGTATAAACGAGAAATTAGATAAAATAAGATAAGTTGTTCTGTATGCATAATTTAGAATAATTAGATTTTTGCTGTATTATATTATTATTATTAGATTTTTATTTGATTATATTATTATTATTAGATTTTTATTCGATTATATTATTATCATTAGATTTTTATTATATTATATTATTATTATTACATTGTTATATTATTATTATTATTAGATTATATTATTAATAGATTTTTATTAGATCATAACTCGGAAATGATATTTTAATGAGAGATTAATGTCATCAAACGCAAGCTATTTGACTTACAGTTGCATCAACTGTATAATGAATTCATTATCATCACATTTGACAATTGTTTCGGAAGAAGCCAAGACCGAGCCAAGGCTATACACGTGGAGCCAAGCGTCGATATATGCGTTCGGGAAAAGTGGCAGCCGTAAAGGCGATAGTTGGTGTTTAACGTGACTTACAGTTGAGGAAGTAATCTTGCCGAGCCAACTTTCTCTGTCTCAATTATAACGTAACAATTTTATACGTTACGAACCTTGTATCTGCTCTGTGAATGGAATACTTGATTGCACAGCACGGCAAACCGACTCGAAAACTTACGCTAACGCGAATAATCGCGCGGTTTGCGTTACCAACCCTAATCTACGCGCAGGGGATGATCGTTGGTACAATATATTATTCGCTATATATTAATATATAACAGATACGCGCATAAAAGTCGAGATTTTACGATGTAACTCATTGATGCAATTAATTCTATATCGTTACAAAAACAATATAATTAATTTCCAAATATAGTTGGAAACAATCTTGGGAAAACTATCAAACG